CTGATTATCTTATATACTTTCAAACATTCAGTAAGAATTTAACTCATATACAAAGAAGTGAAGTAGCATTAGGAAGCTACCATTTAAGATTACAAATCAGTGTGAAGGCTGAGGAACACATATACAATTGATTTTGTTTAGAGTAAAAACATAAGGGGGACTGGCTGTCTGTCCTTGCCAACCCAAACCGAAACTAGAGATTATAATGTTAATGAAGGAGGAAAACAGAGAACAGAACCCAATGCTCGAAGACTGGTTTGTTCACTCCCAGCTGCGAGAGACCAGCTCTCCACAATTTCTTAGAGAGTCTTTCTGCATATTTCTGCATATTTATAGGCAGGTACAGAAGCTCAATCTTCAAAGACATGTTTCTCAGAATCAATCTCCTGGGGGAGCACATTGAAGCGAACTGCCATGTCTGAGCAAGGGGTGCTTATCTCCTACAATTATCCCCATAAACATAGACTAACATGTCCTGATTTCACTTCCACTCTTGCCAAGTTAAATAAGAAATTTAATGTTTTTTCATTGCTGTAATTCAAGCTTTGACCTTCCTGTAAGGACACACAGAAACACATAACTATAATGAACACCACTCAGCAAGACACTGCCACACGTTGACACAAACACAGCTGTGAGACCCTGATACATCAAGGTTGTAAAACCAGAATTGTTTGTATAGTGCTGCCAATGTACGAGCTTGGTGGCAAGTTTGTGGACTTAATTGTCAGACCTTATCTGTCTGTCTGTCTGTCTATCTATCTATCTATCTATCTATCTGTAGGAAGAGTTCTTTTGGTTAGCCAAAGGGTGTGCACACTTAAGATTTTTTAGGAGTTACCAAATTTATCTCCCCATAGTTGGTACAACTTACACCTCAGCACCCACTGTGGTGTGTTGGCAAATGTTTGATCCTCCTGGGTCTGGGCAGTGAAAGTTGGCTCCCAGCCGCCTGGTTCAGCTGAATCAGGTGTGTCTCTCAGTTAGCTCAAAGCCTCGTACATGTGCATGTCACTCCACGCCACTTATATCTCTTATACCTGCTTGTTTCCTTTCCCCAAATCTCCATTATGTTGGTCTTTCCCTCCCAGATTGGCTAAAGTTCTTGATAACTGTAGGCAACTAATCCTTGGTCATCCACTGCAAATGTTTTCCCCAGGATGTCAGTTGTTCTTTGATTTTGACCATGGCTTTGAGGGCCTAGCAGAATCTTTGTAATATTTACAAGGTGGCGGCCTCTAAGTTTTATGTCTTAATTTCAAGTTCTTCCTTCCTGAGATTATACCAAAAACTCCAGTGTGTTCTTCCAGCATTACCATGAGGTGTGTGTGTGTAATAAAGGAGGGACTAGACTTTGCTGTTCCCCCAGACAGCAGCCAGCCTCTCTGGCTTCATTTCCTTGGCTGCCTGCCCCACCTTTCGGCCCTTATAACACATCATCATTCCCATTTGTCAGGCTGCATTTGAGTAACACCCAGGGCCTGAATCCCTCTGGAGAGGTCTAGTGAGCCGTGACCAGAGTGGTAGTGCATCTTCAGAACTTGGAGAGCTCGGCTTGTGAGGGCCCACCCTTCCCCTGCCAAGACAGCCCACCTCAAACCTGTGAGCTCATGTCCCACTGAGCACCCAAGCAGACTGGAGACCTTGTCTCCACTAACATTTCCAGAGTGTCCTTTCACTAAAGCCATCTCCCTCTGCCACCTCCACCATTGACACCACTTTGGGCCATAGGCAGCAGCCAACTGCTCAGTGGATCAGCCTGACGCAGCCCACTAGGGGCTGCAGGGTGCTCATGGGACCTGACATTGATGTGCCATGACCAATAGGGAGGCCTCTTCCTGTGTGATACTAGGGGGCCACTTCCTGTGTGATGCTGGGGGGCCACTTCCTGTGTGAGGCTGGGGGGGCCACTTCCTGTGTGATGCTGGGGGGCCACTTCCTGTGTGA